GCCTGCAGCCAATGTGAGAAGAGCTTCAGACTCAGCTCCAAATTGGACGAGCACATCCGTACCCACAGCAAAGAGAAGCCCTACAAGTGCCCCGAGTGCGGCAAGTCCGTCAGGAACAAGGGCAGCCTGGTCCAGCACCAGAAGACCCACGGCCGTAAAAAACTCCACCAGTATAAAGTGTGTGAGAGGATATCTAAGAAGAAGATCTGTCTGATCCGGCACCAGCGCATCCACAGTGGTGAGTGGCCCTACAAGTGTGGGGAGTTTGGGAAGAGCTATTTGCAGAGCTCCAACCTGATCAGACACCAGCGCATACACAGCGGTGAGAGGCCTTACAGGTGTGGGGAGTGCGGGAAGGCCTTCAATCAGTGCAACAACCTGGTCACACACCAGCGCATCTAAAGCGGTGAGCGGCCCTACAAGTGTGGGGAGTGCAGGAAGAGCTTTGCACAGAGCTCCAGCCTGATCACACACCAGTGGTCTCACAGCAGCTACCGGCCCTACAAGTGTGGAGAATGTGGAAAGGCTTTTAATTATCGCTCCAGCCTGATCAGACACCAGCAGACCCTCACAGGTGAGCAGCCGTACGCCTGTGACCAGTGCGAGGAGAGCTTCCAGTTCAAGCGCAGGTTGGCCAAGCACCGGTTGACCCACACCCACAAGAAGCCCGATGGCTGCCCGAGTGCAGGAGAGCTGCGCCGGGCGGGGCCCCCCCCCCCCCCGGCCCCAGCGGAGCCACACTGGCGAGAAGCCCTACGCCTGCGCCCACGCCATCAGCTCAAGCTCTATCTTGACCCTGGCTTTTTCCTTCTGACACTCGCCTTTTACAGATTTATAACCATGAATGAGGGGACCCCTCAGTCTCCTCTTCTCCAAGCTAAAGAGACCCAGCTCCCTCAGCCGCTTCTCATACTGGAGATGTTCCAGTCCATCAATCATCTTTGTGGCTCTGCACTGGACACTTTCAAGCAATTCCCTTTCTTTGTTGAATGAGGGGCCCAAAACTGACTACAGTATTCCAGATGCGGTCTCACCAGGGCAGAGTAGAGGGGAAGGAGTACCTGTCCTGACCTACTAACCACCCCCTTTCTAATTTACCCCAGGATGCCATTGGCCTTCCTGGCCGCAAGGGCACATTGCTCCCCCCGCGGTCCTCCCCAGCCACTCGTTGCCAAGCCTGTAGCGCTGCATGGGGTTATTCTGACCAAAGTGTAGAACCCGGCACTTGGCCTTATGAAGCTCATACGATTGGCCTCAGGCATTGATTCAGCCTATCTAGGTCCCTCTGCAAAGCCTTCGTACCCTCAAGCGGATCAACACTCCCTCCCAACTTAGTATCATCTGTGAACTTGCTGATGGAGCACTCAATTCCCTCATCCAGATCATTGATCAAGATGTTAAACAGGACTGGCCCCAAAACAGAGCCCTGGGGAACACCGCTTGTGACTGCTCACCAACTGGGTTTAGCTCCATTCACCACAACCCTCTGTGCTCGGCCATCCAGCCCAATGCCCAGCCAGCTTCTCCAGGAGGATGCTGTGGGAGGCTGCGACAAAGCCCTTACTAAAGTCCAGGTAGACAACGTCCACAGACTTCCCCTCATCCACCAAGCAGGTCACCTAATCATAAAAGGAGATAAGATCAGTCAAGCAGGACCTGCCCTTCCTGAACCCAGGCTGACTGGGCCTGATCGCTTGGTTGTCCTGCATATGGCGTGTGGTGGCACTCAGGATGATTTGTTCCATCACTTCCCTGGCACCGAGGTCAGACTCACAGCTCTGCAGTTCCCTGGGTCTTCCTTCCGGCCCTTCCTGTAGATGGGCATCACGTTTGCAAGCCTCCAGTCTACTGGGACCTCCCCAGTCAGCCAAGACTGCAGAATAAATTATGGAAAGTGGCTTGACAAGCACTTCTACAGCACCCTCAGGAACATGGGGTGAATCCCATCTGACCTCGTAGACTTGTGTATATCTAAGTGGTGTAGCAGGTCGCTAACCACCTCTTCATGGATTATGGGACCTTCACTGTTCTTTCCATCCCTGTCTTCTTGCTCAGGAGACTGGGTACCCAGAGAACTGCTGGTTTTCCTAACAAAGACTGAGGCAAAGAAGGCATTAAGTACCTCAGCCTTTTCCTCATCCCCTGTCGCTATGCTTCCCCTACATCTACTAGAGGGGGGCGACTCTCCTTAGTTCTCTTTTTATTTCCAATATGCTTATAGAAACCCTTTTATTTCTCTTTAACAGCACTAGCCAGGTTAAGTTCCAGCTGCACTTTGGCCCTTCTAATTTTCTCCCTGCACAGCCTCCCGATAGCCCTGTACTCCTCCTGAGTTGCCTGCCCCTTCTTCCAAAGATCATAAACTCTCTTTTTTTTCCTGAGCTCCAGACAGAGCTCTGTGTTCAGCCCGGCCGGTCTTCTTCCCTGCCACCTCGTTTTCCGACACGAGGGACAGCCTGTTCCTGTGCCTTTAAGACTTCCTTCTTGAAGACAGTCCAGCCTTCCTCGACACTTCTCCATTCAGAGCTGCCTCCCAAGGTACTCTGCCAACCAAGTCCCTAAACAGGCCAAAGTCTGCCCGCCAGAAGTCCAAAGTGGCAGTTCTGCTAACCCCCCTTCTTGCTTCTTCAAGGACTGAAAACTCTTATCATTTCATGATCACTGTGCCCAAGACAGCCTCCACCCATCACGTCCCCCACAAGACCTTCTCTGAAGAGCAGGGTCAGCAGGGCACCTTCCCTTGTCGGGTCCTTTACCAGCTTGTGGCAATTGAGGCACGGACTTCACCTAACAGTACAAGCAAAGACCTTTATTACCTCTCAAACTCCATATTTATGTGTTTCTTAACTGCCCACACTCAGACAAAGCTGTTACCATTAGTCTGAACCCTGTGTTCACACAGCTGAACTCCCTTACAGTTGGTTCAGGCAATGCAGCACACACAGCTGTGACTGGTGCAAGCAATGTAGCTTCCACAACCATAGATATTGCACAGGACCTCCTGGCTCAAGGACAGAGCGCCACTCGTCAAGGTCAAAGTTGTAATTAAACTGCAACTCGCCATCCCCACAATTCCCCCCTTTTGTTTTTCTACCATAAAGGCTGGTTTTACCATATGATCTAAGGTTCTCTGTAAACATCCCAACACACAAGGCACTAGTAATATAATGATACAGATGATCAACAAGATTAACAAACCACGTTTAACAACTGAATAAAAGGAACCCTTAATACTCCATCCTGAGAATAGTCATTCGAGTCCAAAAAATCCTTGATCTTGACACCCCAGGAATCTGGAGTCCCTCAGCCACTCTACTTATCGCAATGGTGCAGCCAGAGAGGAAATGAGCATCTAAGCACTGGCAGAGGAGTAGGGACATGGACATGAACATAGACACACACACGCACTTGACACTGGCAAGGGGCTCTGGGTATCATATGCATCTCGGGAGAGCCAAGCCCTGTCCTGAGTATATTGAGGGCTCCAATTCCTTTATCCTTTACATGGTCTCTGCAGAGAAAATGCAGTGGGAACAAGACCCTTCTCATGTTCCAGCATGACATGGAGATCACATATGGAGCTGTCTTTCAGGACTTGAACTTGTGGTGACAACCCTGCCCTGTCCCCCTCCAGTGGCATGAGGAGATGGTCATCCCTGGATGACCCCACCTGATCCCCTGGGAGCCCTGGGCTAATTCCCTCCCATGATCAATAAACCCATTCAGCAAAGCTATGCTCTGTGTTTGTGTGCGTGTGTGTGTGTGTGTGTGTGTGTGTGTGACCCCGTGTCCATGTCCCCACTCCTCTGCCAGCACTCAGACATTGGCATCCTCTCTGGATGCACCATTGTGATGAGCAGAGTGGCTGAGGGAGCTCAAATGCCTGGGATGTCTCTGTGAAAGAGATCCCCTTCCCACTCACCAGGTCCCTCCAGATAAGGGCAAATTAGGGCAAATTGGAGTGTTTTTCCAAACAGAGTTCACTTCTAGAAAGACAGTGCTTGTATGGTATGTAAACATGGCTCTTGCTTCTACTTGTGCCTATGGAGACTTAAGGCAACTCTCACACTGTGGGTGCCATATTCACACCTATGGGGAAGAGCAGACAGGACTGACCAACAAGGTATTCCATCTCACATACTTAACACTGAGTGTGAAGCTGAGGGATCACAAGGGTCTTGCTCTTCTTCTACCCTTCTTCTGTGATGGCTGAAGTCTGAGCAGAACCCTGCTACTTTGTCTACCTCTGATCTCGATCTCTGTGTTCCTGAATCCAGTTCTGCCTCCTGCTCCCACTGCTGCAGAGTCCGGTCTGGGACTTTTCCAGTGCCTTGCTCCCCATAGCCTCTGGTGATAGAATCATTATTGTGAGGAGGCGGGGATGGGGAGGATTTATATTTGTTTTATATATATATATATATACATATATATGTACAAATTTGTATATATGTCATTATTTTCCTATTTA